GCATATAGCCAACCAGGTACAATGGGCGGTTATGAAGAGTTTCACCTAGCAGAAGATCGTCATTTGTGAACGTGACTTTTTCCTCACAAGCATTAACTTCTTGAGGAGTGGACTCGATGAGCTTTTTCGAAGATGGTGCCAACGGTAGGTCATCACCCTTTTCCTCCCCTTCATCAGCATGGCAACAAGAGGCAGTGATACCCCCATGGGAAATCTTCATGCGAAACCAACTTGGTAAAAACTCCTCCAAGGTCACTGGATTTTGTGGCTTTTGAGAGTGGTGTACCTCCACTTTTGCTCTCTTTAAGTGCTTAACTGGATTCCATCTCCTTGGTCTTTTTACCATCATTTTCCTTGTTGGTTGTTCTACTGATTCTTTTCGTGGGCTCTATCTGTGGTGCCTACGATGAGTCACTAATGTCCAACCTTCATCATCATCAGGTTGATTGACTTCAGCTTTGTCGTTCTCCAATAATTCTTCATCTTTACTTTCTTTAAAACCACATTATTCATCGGGACAGAATGAGCCAAAGGTGATAGAGACTTGGTTTGCGCTTGCTTTCTCATCTTCAAGCACAATCTTCTTTTCGCGAGCCAAGTCCATAACTTTGTCCTTGAATACAAATCACTTCTCCAAGGGTGGCTCACAAGTCAATGGTATTTGCAGTAATTTGGGTCATTTATTTTTCCAGCTTCATTTGGTCGCTTCATCTCTGGAAGCTCAATGAGATTTAACTCGAGGAGTTCTTCAAAAACAGTTGGCATATCAGAATCCAGAAATGGGTACTCTTTCTCTTGCATTACTTTTAGAGTCAACTTTCCACTTGGCTTATCTTGAAAAGAAGTGGATTTCATACTCTGCTTCTTGCTCACCTTCGTTGTGAACATCACAGGTGATGTATTGACATTCATAGCTTCTTTGTCTTCAGATTTGGGTACAAACTTGCTCCATTTCCTGACTTCTTGCTTGTCGTTCCCTTTTTGAGGCTCATAGATAGGAAACCTTTCATTTCTAGTGAAGGCCATGCTCAATTCCATGTCATGGGCACGAGCCAAGTTCTTCAAGTGTGCCAGGCTTGATATCTTGCAAGATTTAGCGTAGCCCCCAATGCATGCCTTGGATGCACATCTCTATGCCCGAAGCTTCACTAAGCCTATCTTTGTAGTTGAGGCTTGCATTCCTCCAACGATTGATAAAGTCAATAACTGGTTCACCCTTTCGTTGATGAGTATTTGTAAGTTCTATCATACTCACAGTACGCCTCGTGCTATAAAATCGATTGAGGAATTCTTGCTCTAGTTGATCCCAGCTATCAACAGATCCAGCCTTGAGGTCCGTGTACCAATCAAAAGCATTTCTTTTTAATGAGCGAACAAACTGCTTGACGAGGTAATCTCCATAAGTCCCAGCATTGTTGCATGTCTCAACGAAGTGCACCACATGTTGCTTTGGATTGCCTTTGCCATCAAACTATTAAAATTTTGGAGGTTGATAGCCTGCAGGCATCTTCAACATATCGATCCTTGAAGTGTACACTTTGTGTAGGTAAAGAAGGACTTAGAAGCGACTTCATATTTGTTTTTTATAGTCCCTTCAATGAACTCCTTTAGTTGATTGATTGGAATCATCCCTTCTGAAGAGACTAGAATTTCCTTAGTGGATGCAACTTGTCGTGGGGGATGATTGATCTCTTGAACTTCAGGGAGTTTGCCGGGTGCATGGGTGGATTCTTCTTCCATCAATATTCCCACCCTGTTTGTTAGCTTGTCAATTCTAGCCTTTTGATTTTGCATGCATTTGGTCAAGCCAGCGATTGCTTCCGTCAAGTTTGTCAATTGCTCATCCACAGATAAAGTGTTTGTCACCATAGCTTGCATGATTGTCGTGGACGATGGAGAGTAGCATGGAAGTTCTTGGATCCGGAGAGGTCAAGTAGAGCAAGAGTTTTCTTGATCTTTTCAGCAATATCTCTTCCTCCTTCAAGTGCATTTGTGGAAGATCTTGCTCCTTTTGAGGATGAATATCCGAAAACAGGGGTTGATGCGGACGGCACTTGGGGTACTTATTGTCCTAAAGAGCTTGCTTTGCTCCTTGTAACTGGTCCGAATCTTCCAAAGGTAACATCGAGGAGGCTTTCCACATCAGCATAGAACCTGGAGTTAGCAGCCTTGGTGGAAGTTGAACTGTAGTTGATTTTCTTTGAAGCCATTTTAATGTTCTTGAACTTTGGTGATTGAAAAGTTGAGATGAGAGGTAGAGATTGTCCCACTGGGCGTGCCAGAATTTATAGACAATAAATTGCGTCAAGAAAATAATCAAGATCAAAAATATCGCAATAATCGTAGTATTTGATTTCACATAATATGAGTGTACAATCTCTATGAATCCTCTGATTCTACTTTTCCGATACAAATTCAAGGGCCTTTGAGCTTGATCTTGAATCTACATTTGTTGTCACGAACTTTGATTTGAACTCGTACTCCTTGAACCTTGATTTGTTCTTCGTTCTTGAGCTTGAACTTGAAGCTTGAAACTTGTGGAGGAATTTGCAGCGTTTGATCCACGAGCTCTCTTTTGCTTCTTGTTATAATTTCTGGTGTCTTTTCTGGGTTATGAAGACCCCTATTTATAGTTGTGGGAGGGAAGAGTTATGATAAGAACAAACTCTTTCCGACCAATCAATTGAAGTGTGACATGGCCGTATTTGATTGGCCAGAACATGTCACTTGCACACGTGCCGCGATTTCATTGACCTTTTAATGTGACTTGGCATGCTTTGTCATTTTGACACGTGGCACGATCCTATTGGTTCTTCCGCTTGACTTGGCGTGCCACGTCACTTGACACATGGTACCAAACTGGGCCTCTAGGAAGATGACATCTTGGGCTTAATGAAGTGGGCTCATCACTTTAGCTTAATTAAATGGGCTAACCCAATGAATTAAGAATTATTTATTTAATCTATATATATTGGACTTATATAATTAATTCAATTGTATTAGCCCGTAGTATTTATTTGGACTAATATATCTTGAATTTAAAATATAATCCAAATTATTTTATGAATTTAATTTTAATAAAATTTATATGCCTACAACTTGCACAAACTAAGATTATATATCCTCTATGAGTGATGTTCAAGACTCCCATTCAGCTCCTCTTGTTTGTGTCACTCAAACTGATTACAGGTTGAACTCATAATTTTCACTTATATCCTGTATTTTTTCCCAAAAAATTATTAAATATATATAAATAATAAATTTTGAATCCATTAAATTAGATGTGTGTTGGTAGAATGTAAATTTGAACTCATAAAGTGCAAATTCTGGATCCACTTCTGCCTATCATCATACAGTAATAATAAGGCTTACAAAACACGAAAAGATGTCGGGTGGTTGAGATCCTTCCACTCTTAATCAAAGGTTTTAAGATCGGAATATGAAAATGGATAACCTTTCAATAGGGAGCACCACCTATACATACCCCTTAAGTGGCCTATCCATCCTGAATCCAAAGTAAAATCGGTGAATTTGGAATATCGAATGATTAAGCCCAAAAAAGATAAGTTTGCAAGATTTGTTGTTTGTAGTAGCTACTTATATGTAATCCTAAGGAGAAGAACAAAACTAAGGAGGGGATCCCACATGCATGTTACGTAATATCAAGAAGGTGGTCCAAACTATTTAAAAGACAGTCGAGAAAAATAAAGATTGTGTAGTGCCTTTTGGGGTTTCCTATTATAGTACAGACCCACCAGAAATATAGAAGATAACTTTAGGTTTAATGACGTTCACAAGCACCACCACTCTAGCTAGGGTTCAGTCTCTTTCCCATTTCCCTTGTATCCAAGATTAAGCACCAATAACAATAATGTTCACTTATATACACATACATATTGATAAACTTGTCTCTACACAATATACTTCCCCTCTTTCCAAATCGTATTCAGGGGTGTACATGGACCGGGTTGGTTCGGTTTTTATCAAAATCAAATCAAACCAACTATATCGGTTTGGATTGGTTCGGTTTTGTCGGATTTTTCGGATTTTTTGTTACTTAAATATTAGTTCAATCTTACTTTGTTAAATTTTTATAAGTAAATATATGTTTATTAAAAATATAAAAAAATTGACAAACATTTATCTATTAAAATATTCTTATGAGAGAATTTTCTTAGTAACACATAATAATTATTTTTTAGTCGTCTGAAAATAATGTTTCGTTGATTTACACTTTCAAGGTTAACCAAATTTAGTTATTAAACATAAAATTCAATATGATACCTAAATAATAATAATCACTTCACATTCGAAAAAGATATAACAATTTAATAGATCTTAACATATGGTATGAATATGAAAGAATAAAGAGATTAACGCATTTGAGTAACACTTGATGAGAAAGTGATCATACAACCCATTATTTAAGGTTAATAAATATGAAGCACTTCATATATTATTAAATATTATATTCCGCATGAGAATCCCAAATATTTTTAGACATTTTTAAAAGAAAATTCTATGTAAAATCTTAAAAGAATATATAAAAATTATATATTTATATGTTGGTTTGATTTGGATTTTTTTTTACTAAATGCCAAATCAAATCAAATCAAACCAAACCTAGTCGGGTTTTTTAATCGGTTTGGTTTAACTTTTCGGTTTGGTGCGGTTTTCTGGTTTGGTTTGTACACCCCTATCGTATCTATACCTGTTTTTCACTTCGTCCTGTAGTAATGTTTCATTTTTTTTCAAAAGGATAAGTAAAAACTCCACAAAAGGTTATAAAATAAACTCATATTTACATTTCCTTTTTTTTCCTACTCTAACTGAACATTAGATAGGACTCAATCCAAGGGCAATATAAGCAACAGTTTCTCAGGCCTCTTGGATCTTAACTCACCATCAAGAAGCTTGCTTTCTCACATTACTAGTATAAACCATATGTTTTCAAAGGTGAAAATGGAAGCTAGAAACCCAAAGTATAGTGTACAGTGAAATTTATCACCGGAATTGATAAATGAAATTAATATAATTTCTATCAAATAATGTTCAATAATTCATCTCAGAAAACACCTTATCATTTTGTCTTCTCTCCTCAAAACTATAATTACAGCCAGTGCATAAGCAATTTCTGTTCCAGGCTACTTTCTGATCTGCTAAGGACGATAAAGGAAATTATCTTCTATAAAAAACAGCTATGTAAGTAAAAACCTCAATTTCTTTCCCTCTTAGCTACGATGCTACATACTCCTTATCACCACTCCACTAGATTCCTTTTTGACCCAAAATTACAACTAAACTAGGCGATGCGAAGGTCAAAGAATGCTCTCATCAATGCTATTCCTGTAAGGCTTGAGAAAAGATAAATCAAGCCTTGATGTTTAGTACTGTAACAACTATCATCTAATGTTAGATTTCCTCAACTCGTCTATAAAATAGGACATAGGCGGCCGAGGTTTTGAGCTTGTCCTGGCTGATGGGATACACATGGCTGTCATCGAAGTCATACCACCGATCAGCACCTTGCTAGATTATTAGAAGAAAAAAACACAAAGTTAGAATATCTGGATTAAACTGGGAAGACTGTAAAAGTCTGAATATTTGACCTTCTTGCATATTCTTCATGATGAAGAAATAAAAACAATGAAGATGCATGACCAAAGTTAAATATATAATAGATGCACATATGTGCAATATGTGATTAATTTAGATGCAGATGATGCATTGGAACTAAAAAATACATCAAAGGAACACTCACTACGAAATAGGAAGTTTCTATATTTGCCCTTGGAGGTAGGTTTCAGTGACCGCCCACCACCCACCCTTCTCCCCAAGTACTGATCTTTAGATGCCAATTTTATCAGGTATAAAAGAATCCTATTTACCATAGAATAGAAACAAAACCAAGAAAAAGAAGCAAGGTAATCCAAGTCGCAGCACCACTTACATGAACAAACGCAGTGTAGTGACCCCCTCCCATGCTTCCATAATGGTTGCTAATTGCATAAAGCATATACCGGTAGGAAGATTTGCCATCTTTGTAGGCCAAATATGAGGATAAATCAAGATCATGAGTTGGGAAGTCAACATACGTCTCCAACTTGTTCTTCAGAAACCGGTTGTACGAGAACCTCTTCAGGTGGATGACCAGAATCTCCGGCAGTCTCCAAAGATCCAACTTTTTAGTAGCTTGGCGATGCTGCTTGCATGCAGGGCAGTACCTAATGTTGGATATAAGACAAAGAAAGTTAGGCAGATCATATTCATACTTCCCAAGCGAATGACACAAAATTAGATGATAAGATAGAATACTAGAAAGATTTCATGAAAGAAGTCTTTTCCCCCATGAGTGGCCCCAGGTAAATAGCTGAATTTTATTATCTCAATTACTGTCTGTAGTTGCTATGAATATACAAGAAACAAAGAGCAACACAAAAACTATTTCAGAAGCACAATGTGCAGAAAATCAATAGGTGTTACATAAGATCATCAGATGCTGTCATTGTTTCTTTAACATAACTGAACTAGAAGTTGGAAGGGTACTACTCATGCCATGTTGCAAAGTCAAGGTCCAATTTGGTTGAGGGGAGGCTAATAAGAATGGTTTATCCACAATAAGCAATCACGACGTGGTGGAAAATATTGACAGAAATGAAATAAAATGGTATAATTGGAAAAATACAATTATGTAACTACAAAAGTTGAGGGTTTATAATATTAGCATAAACCAAAGAAGAAGCAAAAAGGGAAGCATTACGAGAAATCTCTGAACATTCATATGTTATGAATAGTGAATACATAGCTTGCATATGAATGGTGTACAATCACAGAAGTGAGGGAGTTGCATGCTTACCACATATCTTCTGGCCCTAGAGGCTCTTCCTTCAGAAATGCCTCAAGACATTTATACAGAGAGACAGATTCTTGTGGTCTTTTGGCAAAAAACCCAGATTTAAAAACTTCTGGCAGTGAGCTGAAAAGGCCTGTATTGTACTGTTCAAGCATTTTAGGTGACCAACTTACAAGTACATTTAACCGTCCAGAGATATCTGTGGACTGTAATGGCTCATTCATTACAATCTCGGAGCCTTTAAAGGTTGCCTTATCATCTGATAGGTAAAATTCAAAGTCCATGTCTAAAGGTTCGGCAGTATCTTCTTCAGCAATGCTTTCTGGAACCCCGTTAACTATTGAGTTGCCAGGTTCCATGTCTGTGCTGACTTCTGAATCTGTACATACTTCAGTAGCACTTCTATCACAGTTAAGAGTAGCACTTCTATCACAGTTAAGATTATCTGCTTGGGCTGTAGTGTGGACTAAGAATGGTGTAAGTATCTGTAGATAAAGACTACGGATATAAGATCCTGTAAGAACTCTACTATGCGCGGCAAGCGGAATTCCAAATGTCTTCATATTTGAGGTCAGCTTTCCGTATATGTAATGCCTGCACATGCAGTCTTTATCAGATTGCTAGAATGGAAGAGGAAATCAAGAAGGAAATGATACTTTGCCAAAATAAATATCAGCCATCTCATTTAATGAGTCAAGGACCACTATGAGAATCTTTCAACTTAATGGATCAAAAGTTAAACTAAACATAATCAGCAAACAAAACAGCAGGAAATTCCTTATCATATACAACTTCGCAGTAAGATGCATGGAAGAAGCAATAGATTCATGATTGTCCAAATAATCTAGAAGGATCACACACATCATCTGAACTACATGTTGCTTGAAGAACCATGCATAACGATGATTTGTAATGTATTCAAGTGAAGCGAATTGAGACTGAGGATGCTCAACAGTACTAAATAAACCACCTTGCATTTTTACTTTATACAAGATAGATGTATATGACAACAGCCTACTCTATACACTAACTGGAGCTGTGTTGATCATGAATTAATCACCCGATCTCCATAGACTGAGATATTACCATAAATGTCGTCTGCGAAAATATTTTGTCAATTCTTTTAAGCAATGTAGTCATCAAGTACGCCCACATCCAAACCCTGCCATGATTAAGAGTGATGATGTGGAAGCACCACCCTTGGAGTACTTTTTTCCCCAACTTATTACTTATGAAACATATATGTGCATGCAAGACACACCGGAGTAATGGCTAGTGAAAATGTTGGTTTATGTTTAGGTAACAATTGGTATCAAAGCGACAGGATTCTTTAACGATCCAAGGAGAAAGAACAAGCAAATAT